GGAATAAATTGCCTAGGGAGGTTGTGGAATCTCCGTCTCTGGAGTTATTTAAGAGTAGGTTAGATAAATGTCTATCAGGGATGGTCTAGACAGTATTTGGTCCTGCCATGCGGGCAGGGGACTGGACTCGATGACCTCTCGAGGTCCCTTCCAGTCCTATAATCTATGATTCTATGAAAAATCTGTATATGGAAAAGTGTCTATAAATGACACAGCATATCCTGGGTACAATAAATATATAGCATAAAAACTTTAAGAACAAATGAAAGGTGCTGAGTAACAATAATAGACTTACCAATCACATAATTTACAAATCCACAAGCACTTAAAAGCAACTATAGTTAAGGACATCATAAATTTTACAGTCCACATAATATGAACTAATTATTCCTACTAAGTATGAAGTAAAGTTACTTTATCACAGCACAACCTTAATGCTAATAACCTTAGCTAGTCATTTCCTTGCTGTTAATGAGGCTATCTGTAAATTAACTAGTTTTAGAAGAGTTTTTGGTATAGGAATTTCTCAACTTGTGTATGTGTTCTTCTTAAACTCTTTTTATTTTAAATATTACAAGACTATACCATGCATAATACTTTCATTTCATTTTCACCAACATTTTTAATATGTACACTCTTATTTTCCCCTTTTATGCAGCTAGCTGGAGAACTAGTAACATGTCAAGGGTTTAAATAAACAGGATGTGACTTGTCAACAAATTATTAAACAAAAGGAGTGAGCACTGCTGGCCAACCTCATTACAACAGTCCTGCCTCCTGCAAAGCGCATCTGGGGCAAGACTCCTCACATGCAGGAGGCAGCTGTTAGCAAGGCCTGGCTGCACCCCTTCCCCTCAACCTGAATGCGGGGCTAAGTCCTGGCACATTCAATGTCAGAACCAAGCCTGGAATCGCCTCCCAGCCCCGGCTCCCCGCGCAGGAGCAGCGCCCGGCCCGCGCGGGGCTCTCTGCACCTCGGCAAACTTGCCACGGCAAACCCGCTCCGTGAGCCGGGTCGAGGAAGCAGCTGGTGCCGCTGAGCGGGAGGCTGCAGTGACACCTCCGCCCCAGCCCACAGGCGCTGCCTCCAGGCGGGGTAACGGGGCCAGCCCTCGCCCCGCCACATGCTGCCCGCGAGCGCGGGGGGCCCCTGGGCAGGCGGAGGGAGCTGGGGGCAGGGGACGCTCGATAAGGGGCGGGGAGCGGACGCGGGGCCGGTACCTGCCTGCTCTCCTTCCCCTTCGCCTTGGCCGCCATGCCGGGCGGGCCACGCGTCCCTGCGTTGCCCTGGGAGGCGGCGGGGGCGGCGTTAGCGCACGGGCAGCGGCCGGGGGCGGGGAGGGGGGGAGCAGCCCCTGGCCAAGGTCCGGAGCGACCCCCTCCCCACCCTACCCCGTGCGCTTCCCGGGAGTGCGATCCGCCCCCACAGCACCCATCCCCTGTGTGACCCCACCCGCCCCCACAGCACCCATCCCCTGTGTGATCCTCTTGCCCCCACAGCACCCATCCCCTGTGTGACCCCCCCCCATAACACCCATCCCCTGTGTGACCCCACCCACCCTCACAGCACCCATCCCCTGTGTGATCCCCCCCATAACACTCATCCCCGCTGTGACCCCACCCACCCCCACAGCACCCATCCCCTGTGTGACCCCCTGACCCAGGGCCGGCTCCAGGCACCAGCCCAGCAAGCAGGAGAGGGGTGGCACTTCCCGGTCTTCGGCGGCGGGTCCCTCACTCCCTCTCGGAGCGAAGGACCAGCCGCCAAATTGCTGCCGCAGACTGAAGCAGCAGAGGTAGAGCTGATCGCGGCTTTTTTATTTATTTTTTTTCTGCTTGGGGCGGCAAAAACCTTGGAGCCGGTCCTGCCCTGACCCCACAGCACCCATCCCCTGAGTGACCCCCACAGCAGCGATCCCCTGTGTGACCCCCCGCATAACACCCATCCCCTGTGTGACCCCCTGACCTCACAGCACCCATCCCTGTGTGATTCCCCCTGCCCCCACAGCACCCCTCCTTTGTGTTACCCCCTCACCCCACAGCACCCATCGCCTGTGAGCCCCACCCCCACAGCACCAATGCCCTGTATGACCCCCTCACCCCCACAGCACCCATCCCCTGTGTGACCGCCATTGCACCCATCCCAGGAGAGTGATCATCCGCATAGCACCCACCACTGGGTGACCCTCCCCCCACTCCCATAGCACCCATTCTCTGTGTGACCCTTCTCACACTCCGACAGCACCCATCCTGGGAGTGTGACAGCACCCATCTCCTCTGTGACCCACCCCCTCCATAGCACCCATCCTGGGAGTATGACCTCCATCCACCCCTATAGTGCCCATCCCCTGTGTGAACCCCACACACACCCACAGCACCATTGGGTTGCCAACTTTATAATAGCACAAAACTGAAACCCATGCCCCGCCCTTTTTCCGAGGCCCCGCCCCTGCTCCAAGGCCCTGCCCTTGGCTCAATCCATCCCCCCTCCCTCTGTTGCTTGCTCACCCCCACTCTCACTCACTCATTTTCACCGGCCTGAGGCAGGAGGTTGGGGTGTGGGAGGGGGTGAGGGCTCCAACTGGGGATGCAGGCTCTGGGATGGGGCCGGGGATGAGGAGTATAGGGTGCAGGAGGGGGTTCCGAGCTCGAGGTGGGGCTGAGGGGTTTAGAGTGTGGAAGGGGGTTCCAAGCTGGGGCAGGAGGTTGGGGCACGTGAGGAGGTTCGGGGTGCAGGCTCTGGGAGGGAGTTTGGGTGTGGGAGGGAGCTCAGGGCTGAGGCAGGGGGTTGAGGCACGGGAGGGGGTGTGGGTTTCAGGAGGGACTGGGAGTTTGGGCGCGGGAGGGGGCTCAGGGCTGGGGCAGGGGGTTGGGGTGCGGGAGGGAGTTTTGGGAGCAGGCTCTGGGTGGCACTTACCTCAGGCAGCTTCTCCAGAAGCAGTGACATGTCCCTCTGGCTCCTAGATGGAGGCGTGGCCAGGCAGCTCTGCACGCTGCCTCTGCCTGCAGGCGCTGCCCCTGCAGCTCCAATTGGCCACAGTTCCTGGCCAATGGGAGCTATGGAGCCGGTGCTCGGGGCAGGGGCAGCGCACAGAGCCCCCATGGCCATCCCTCTGCCTAGGAGCCAAGAGACATGTCGACAGGGGCTGCTCCAGGCACCAGCGCACCAAGCGTCTGCCTGGAGCGGCAAACCGTGGTGGGGGCAGCGTGCCGGTCGCTGTGAGGGCGGCAGTCAGGTTGCCTTTGGCGGCATGCCTGCAGGAGGTCCGCCGGTCCCGCGGCTTCGGTGGCAATTCAGCGGCGGGTATGCCAAAGGCATGGGACCGGCAGACCTCCCGCAGCCAGGCCGCCGAATCCGCGTTACCAGCGGACCTCCCACAGGCATGCCACTGAAAGCCGCCTGACTGCCGTGCTTGGGGCGGCAAAATACATGGAGTCACCCCTGCATGTCGACACTTCCCAGAAGCCGTGCAGAGCCAGGTAGGTAGCCTACCAGCCTCAAGCCAACTGGACTTTTAACGACCTGGTCAGCAGTGCTGTCCAGAGTCACCAGGGTCCCTTTCAACCGGGTGTTCTGATAAAAAAAACAGACACCTGGCAACCCTAACAGCACCCATCCCCTGTGTGACCCCCATACCACCCATCCAAGAATGTGTGACCCCACACACCTATAGCTCCCATCCAGGAATGTGTGACTCCCCCTCATGCACCCATAGCACCCCATCCCGGAGCGTATGACAACCCCCACACCCAAAGCACCCCATCCACTAGTATGTGACACACCCCTTCCCCCACACCATAACACTTCCCTGTTGCTGGAGTCTTTCCCTGTGGCAACTCTGGCAGTTCCCTGCAATGGGGAAAGTCAGGGACGGCTTTAGGCTAATTCAACCAATTCCCCTGAATCGGGCCCCGGCCCTAAAAAGGCCCAAGCCCCGGTACGGCGTACCGGCAAGAGCCGGTGTGCTGTACCCGGGTGGCCCGGCTTCTCCAGGGGGCAATTTAAAGGGCCTGGGGCTCTTTAAATTGCCACCAGAGCCCCACGGCTGGAGCCCTGGGGTAGGGCTGCGGGGCTCTGGGGGCTATTTAAAAAGTCCGGGGCTCCCGTTGCTTCTACTGCCCCGGCCCTTTAAATAGCCGCTGGAGGCCCGGGGGAGCGGGGGGGGCTCTTCGGTATTTTTAAAGGGCGGGGGCGTAGAAAATAAGGGGGAGCCGCGCCGTTTCTTAAACA